CTAACAAATACTCTATTTTCCTACAGCTTTCCCTGTTAGTTAAGTAGGTAAGCAAAAGGAAAGCTAAAATTGTTTTGTAAGTGGGCTACATGCAAACTAAAAATATCTCCGACAGTTCAAAAGTTTTCAAGTTGGCAGATTTGGACTGCTCTTTTGTGACAGCAAATTTGTGGCAATTGGTGCAGGGCCCAATCGAGTTGTTATCCTCTTACAAATAACATATATATTGCTTCAGAGCTGAGCTCGAGATCATTTAAAGCTCGTTCAGTTCAGTTCGACTCGCTAAGACTAAAGGTGGGCTCAGATCATTTGATAAACGAGCTGCGCTCGAGCTCATTTAAAGCTCGTTCAGCTAACGAGATGAGCTCGGCTCGGCTCGATAAGTCTCGAAAATATAACTTTTATGTAATTTTTATAGTTAGACTCGTTAAAGCTCGATTTTGGCTCGTTAAGACTTGATTTCCCTCGTTAATCAGTAAGTGCCAAAACCTGCATGCAATATGCGGAACAAAACTTTCGTTCCTTTAGGGCAAGAAAGTACACCAATCAAATATATATACCTCCTCAAATCAACATGAATTTGTCACCAACGAACTTGAATTAGTACTTAACCCCATAACATTGATTGAATCCACAAATTAATTCAAAAATATATTAAAAAAGAAAAATCAATTCCATTCATATATATAATAATAATAAAATTCAGTATGGCCTCTCCCCTATGTAATTCCCCGGCGGGTCGTAGTTACAGACCATGAAAACACCTTTTCCTCCATAACACACGGCCCGGGCGCACCCGATCCGGGCCGTGGCCCGCCACACTATCTGCGTATAATGCCCGCACTCCTCCCCGTCGGCGCACGAGTTCGAGCGGTAATTGTAGCCCTGCCGCTCTGAAACCCACGCGGCGGCCGCCTGGGCCGGCGTCCACCCATCCCCGCTTCCCCAGAAGATGTTCTCGCCGTACGGCCCGTTTGAGTGCACGAGGGCGCAGTCGGCCCGTCTCAGGCCCGCATAACGGGCCGCGTAACGCGCGATTTTCGGGTCCCACACTAGAGGGCGGAGCCTAAGGGCGGCCCGGGCCGCGTTTTGGACGGCCGTGAACTGTTGGATTTCGTTCTGCTGCCGGTAGGCGGCGGTTGCGGACGGCGGGAGGAGGAGGAGAGTGAGGATGAGGGCGTAGCAGGGGATAATTGTCATTTTTAGGACATGAATTTTTTTATTTTTTTTTAAAGTATGTTTTTGTGTGGGTACTACGTAGCTAATGTTAGTGAGTAGAAGTTATTTGTGAGTATTTAATAATAATATTTATAAGAAAAGGGGGGCCAAAAGGTAGGTGGAATTTGGGAGTTTATTAAAAAGTGTCAAAGTTATATGGGGTGGCGCCCATGTTCGATACTGATTGGCACATCTGTTAAATTGGGTTTTTCTATATTGAATTATTATTATATTATTGATGATGGGGTAGATTATATTATCCTAATATGTACACAAGTATATAGGAAATTTGGGAAAAGATGTTGTGCATATGGAGTGGACTTTATTAGATTAAATGGTGTGGATACAACATTAAATAGTCAAACTCTGAGTTTTAATTTTTTTTAGTGAATATATATGTTAAAACTTAACTCGTTTATTAGTCACTAGTACAGAGCCCGTGCGATGCACGGGGTGCACAATTTTTAGGCTATTTATCCAGGTTTATAATTATATACATGAATAAAGAAAAATGTACGGGATATATATAGTACGTGACCCGTGCGAAGCACGGGATATATTTATTTGGAGAATATTATATTATAAGATGCAATATTCAATAAAAGTTTATAATACGCAAGAAAATTGTACAATGTCCAATAAAAGTTTTATAATATTCAAGTGGACTTTTAAAGTCTCTTGTACATTAAGACTACTGACAAAATAATATTTTAATCAATGAGTTTCCTTTCCTTGTAGCCAAATTGTGAATGTGATTTGAGGAGTACAACAAATCGATATATAGCTGACTTGCTTTTTTCATTGTAGTTTTTTTTTTTTCTTTTTTTTTATAATGAATTTAAAGATATTCTAAAATATAGCAAAAATTAATTTTTTTATTACAATTAGGAATTTTACTAAATATAGACTCTCAATCTATAGTGTTAATCAACGTTTAAGTCTAAAAAATTAGGAATTTTTACCTCTTTTAATCAACGTTTAAGTCTAAAAAACAATAGAGTTATTATAAGTTTTTTCTACATCTTTTAAAACATTAAATATGATCATGTTAGGGCTAGCTTGTAAAATAATTAATATATTATCTCACTAAAACATTTATACTAATAAAAATTTAATTTTAGTATATGAATTTATCCCTTGATATAAGAGAAAGTAACAGTTTTACTTATTGTTGTTCACCATATAATATTTAATTATTATTTTATTATATAATAAAAAAGGAATATTAATAAATAGTGTAGTAGAATTGTTATAGAAGTATATGATTTTTTTTTTTTACAATATGGATTTAATATTTTTTTATGATTTGATAATATAAACAAATCTATACTTAACTTTGACAAATAAAACAAATAAATAATTTAGTAAGTATTTAATGTATATACTAAATAGGAATATATTTGATATAATCAAATACCAAATATAATCAAATAAGTCAAAGTGTACATTTTTATTTGGTATTTAATTTTTTTATTAGTAATTTTTTTTTATTATACTTACCTTTTTAAAATAAAATAAATAAATAAATCAATTAAATAAATAAAATATTACAATACCAAAATAGTAATGACATTTAATGCAGTTGACTTTTCTGGATAGTAAACGTAGTAAATAGAATTTCCTTTTATATAAGTATAGATATGATATTATATTATATTGCTCAAAATAGTAATGTATTTATTGCATTGACTTTTCAACTTACTAAATTTCGTAAATGGTACCCCTTATTATATAAGTATAGATAATTGAGCTAAAGTAAGATTTCAAAAATTAAAAAAAAAAAATCCTATTCTCGAACCTTTATGAGTCAAATTGACCTGATAAACGAGGCGAGCCAAACTAAACACAGGGTGACTCATTTCATAGAATATATTATTTTTATCTAAACACTAATGTCAAAATTATGATTTTTTAAATATATTTTAATCCTAGTGTTGATGTATTTTGAATTAGAGGTAGGCATGCACATAAATTATTTGCAAGCACAACTCCCAAAACGATGGAGGAGGAAGAATTGGAAACATTTCATTACAAATTCAGCTATTTGGAAGGGTAGTAATTTAAGGTATGAATTTTAGTTTTTCTCAATAGAATATTCGCAGGTTATAAATTTAAAACTCATATTTTTATTTAAATTTTTAATTTAAGACCCAACTAATTTTACTTTCTGACATAAATATGCAAACCATAATATTATTTTTTATTATCTATATTTTACGATAACAAAAATATTAGCTATATTAAACAATTAACTTAAATGAGAAAATTAATCCATATAAGTTATATTCACGCAAAAAATTAATATTTTATTTTCAAAAAATTGATAAGAGAATTTAAAAATATATTATCTAAATTATATTTTGATTAATATTTAAAATATGTAATGAAGGTAATAAATAAATAAAATATGTAATAAAAATAATAAGTTTAAAAGTAAAGCAATAAAAAAAATGAAAATTGTACTTACGTATCGTTTCTTACTTTTATTACATATTTAAATTATTAATAAAATAACAATTAAATTTCATATTTTTTAAATTCACTTATCAATTTTTGAAAATAGTTTTTATTAAATTTTTTTGCATAAAGTAATTTAAATAGACTCGTTTTTTATTAAGGTAATTTTACTAAATATAATTCTAATTTTTTATTATAAGTATGTATTATGTAAAATCTATATTTAAAAAAATAATATTTCTGTTCACATAATTATATCATAAAATAAAGTTAGTCGGCCTTAAATTGAGAAGTCAAATATAAAGATGAGACTTAAATTGAGAAAAGAATATAAATTTTATAGGAGAAAGAATAAAATTCAAACATTGGACCTTATAATAAAATTTCCCCGTGAGAATTTGTAGTGGCAGCAACGGATTTGAATAACATGAGGACACTGGAGAGATGTTTCTGCAAATACAGTCAATAATAACTGATGCAATATCATTATTGGCATAGAAACTTCATAGAAACATGTAATCTGGTTGCAGAGGTTTTGTTTGCATGAGAAGTTTGAAAATGAAGAAAGTCGAGTTTTTGCTGTTGCTTCCTTCATTCTCTGAATGCAGTAGCCACTATAGTGGTAAAAGACATTATTTTCAGCAAATTAAACGATCAAGGTTTTGTTTAATCTGGTGTGTTAGTTTTTTTTTTTCAACTGTGGGCTGTATAACATTAATCTCAGACTTCGGCTGGCCCACCAACATACCTTGTCGATATCAGGAGTGATTGCCATAGTAATGCTGGTGAATGGGAAGGAGAGTTTCTTTCCGGGCATTCCGAAGATTAAGTATGAGGTGAAGTCTCATTCTTTGCATGGAATCTCGAATTTTAAACCACTTGGGCCAGAAAAATGAAATGGAGAAATCTTATTAGTTTCAAAATTTTCTGATTTGTTTTCGTTTTCTAATGTAGGGGTCTTCGAGTAAGAATCCTCTCTCTTTCAAATGGTACGCTGAAGAGGAAATTCTTGGAAAGAAAGATGAAGGTGAATTTTGAGAAGTACTAATGAATGGGGAGAACCCAAAGTTGCCTCTGCTAAAAAGGTAATAACAAATCGTACCCAATTAAATTTCCAGATTTAACATATCATAATTACTACGCGCATACATTGTAGCAGCAATTGCCTAAATAAGAAAAAGTTGGGGAACTTATAATTAGCAAAGTGAACTTGGTGACCAGTGTTGGACTTTATCCTATTAAGGCATTCATTTTATCTTCATTTTCTGAGGTTCAGAGGTTCTTATGATTTGTCATTTTAAGCTCGTATGTGCCTTTTGGCAAGCTCTTACATCTCTTTTCCTCTCTAGAAATTTGCAGGAATTGGCCGAGATGATAGTCTGATCGGCATTATAGATTTTTGGACATAATCTAATCCTTTTTCGTCAAAAGGAAGCGTTCAGCCTTGAGGCTGACGATAAAATGGAATTGCCTTATTATCCCAGAGCCAAGGGGTCCCACAGAACACCAACCTATAGACCCCTTACGATCCTGGTGTAAAATATTTGAAGCCACAACGAAATTGAAGTATTGAATTTCAGACCAAACTTTCCTTTTTTTTAGCTAGCTTGGAGCCATATCTTCATGTTTGTTCTATGAAGGAAACTGTGTTTGGGACATGCTATGTAGTAATGCTATTTAATTTTTTTTTAAACAATAGATTTTATAAATAAAAACTCATAATTACAGCTAGAAAGCATCTAGAATGAGCCAAACAGTCATTTAGCTGAATCAAGGGAGCCTACACATAATAGATACCAAAAACTACGCTAACCCACCCACAACACAAATAAATTATACACTTCCACCAAGGAGTGTATAATTTAAGGAAAAAGAATAAAACAAAAATAACAAACAGGACTAGTAAAGAAAAAACACACAAACAACACACAAACACCAGAAAAACTTGAATTAAGCCCTCCTCCAATCGTAGGCAAACAGCCACACAATGATGACCCGACACTTGGAGACGACCCGCCAAAAGGAACCAAGAAAAGAACCTAAAAACTACAGCAAGCGGCTAGCTGGACCCCGCCAAACCAGACTCCTTACCCAACCGACTACCCCCAGAACAGCAACCGGACCACCACCCCCTAACCCCGCTGATTCAAAGGCTCCTTCGGCTCAATACCCAATTCACGATGCCCACTCCAACCAAAAACATTAATACCTACACAGGGGCAGCAGAAACCACCAGGTGAAAGAGGACCATACCCTACCACGGTCAACTCACTAGAGAAGGCCGGAGTCAGTCGAACTCTCACGCCTTGACAGCCGACGAACCCTCCACCTACGAGTAGACAAATCGGAGAGCGCGGCGAGAGACTACCATTGAGTGGAGTCGTCGACGCCCCTGACATGAAGAGTCGCTCGGTCTGATCGGCACCGAAGTGCCGCTAAATGCGCGATAAGAGGAGACAACGATGGAAACTCGGGCTCCGACTTGATTTGGGAAGTTTAGGAGAGTTTATTCTTTGAATTGGTGACTTGTTGCTACTTATGGTTGGTGAGTTGGATCTCTACTATGATAACATAGTCCTAGCCTTATTATTATTACACATATTATTCCTGAAAGTGCAATTAACGTAGATTTTTTGGCCATTTATTCTTGAAAGTGCTATTAACCTAGATATTTTACAACCTTTCACAAAGGTAGGTGTAGGAAAGCATTTTATATTTGAGATGTGTCTTTTGGTTGTTGTCCATAGGTTGCAATTTAGTATAATTTTTTTATACTTCAATTTTGTCCAATATTTTTTTTAGAGTTTTAGTTTCGTAAAAGAATTGTTATTTTTGTTTCAATTTTGTTCAATTGTCATCCTATTGAAATCCATAAATTTTCAAATTGTAAAACCTATTATCCAACAACTTATTGAAATGTGACGGTTGAATCTTCAAAATCCTGATTTCCAAAAAGATTACTTCATAAAGTTTAACATCATTTCAAACTGTAAGGTCTATTAATCGACATCCTATTGAAATGCATAAACTTTCAAATTGTAAAATCTATTATCCGATATGTTATTGAAACGTGACGGTTGAATATTCAAAACCCTGATTTTTAAAAAGATTACTTTATAAAGTTTAACATTGTACATTATAAATATAAGAAACGGGGGAAATGGGTGCGGTCCTACGCACGTGAAACGCACCATAATAGGGTGAGCCCAGATGAAGCCCAAATGAAGTTCAATCCCAAAAGTGGAAGGAGAAGTAACCCATAGACTTATAAGTTAGGCATATTTTCACTATGTAAACAATGTGAACAACTCACAATGGTATTATATTCTAATAATATAAATTCCAGCATCTAGGCGTGATTGTATATAAATTGCACAGTAAAAAAATCAATCAAAACTCAAATTTAACTCAACTCAACTATCTTCAATATTATCAATATAATTAAATAATATCAACCATTCATTCTTACACATCACATCAACTTTAATTCACTATTCATCCACTCACATAATTTTAACTAACCATCACTTCCAATCATTTTCTCTTACTTTACATCAAATCAATTTAATTATTTTATACTCCCTCCTATTTTTAATAAATGTCGTTTTGAGAAGTTGCACAATAATTAAAAATATTTTTTTTACCAATAATAACTCTCATTAATGAGGATAGAGATTGATGTTTTGAGAAAAGATGAAAATTGAATATGAAAAGACAGTAGTGTATTTATTAGTTAGATGAGAGTAATAATGAAAAAATATGTACAAATTAGCCAAAACGACATCTATTTAACAAATGATCAATTAAGTTAGAATGACAAATAATAAAAATATGAGAGAGTAGTAAATATTATTTTAATATATCTATTAACAACTGATCATACCACCTTTTTTCAAACTTAATTATAGTTAAAAAAACCCAAATTTTTACTAGTTGAATTCATATCCAAACACCCCTAAATCATTCATATCTAAGCGTGATTCAACAAATCCGGCAACACAAATTCATTGCATTGAGCGTTAAGTATAGATTTCTAGCCAATTCTTTGCAAAATTAGTTGATAACCTTTATTTTATTCGACTTCTATATACTTACAAAATCCCTCAATTTATTATATTTATTTAAGGTTTTTGTATAATTCAATGAAAATTTTACCTTTTACGTTCGTAATGAATGGAAATTTTGCTTTAGAATCTAAAAATATAACTTCTAAAAGAAATTAATACAAAATAAAAGTTGCTATATCAAACATAAAAATAAAAAGTGACAAAAATTAGTGAAACAATTTTTTATTTTTTTTTTTTCATATTCTTCTCATTTCGAAGTTTCCAATATTCTGAAACAAGCAAAGGAGACCCAATTAAATATCGCTTGGCTTAAAAAAGAATATCGCTTGGCTTTCCATGTTTCTCAAATTTACCCCTCAAGTCTGAAGACAGATTCTCAGTCACATTCCTTTGATGGTACTTGATTACTATCTCTCTCTCAATTCATGCTCAGTTACAGTAAATAATCACCTCATTATCGATCACATTCATCTTTTCTTGTCTGCAGGAAGGAAGGACAACGGGCTGCTGATATTTTCTTCAGATCCGATCTGGTTTTTTTTTTTTCATTTATTTTTGTGCGCGTGATTGTGTTTTTCCGTATACTGTTACACTCATCACATCGAACGTCAACGTGAGGAATGGGAATAGTTTTCACGCGGCTGTTCTCGTCCCTGTTTGGAAACAAGGAAGCTCGGATCCTCGTTCTAGGGCTTGACAATGCCGGAAAAACCACCATTCTTTGTACGATTTGTTTTCATTTTATTTCTGTGAATTCTCGTGATGTGAATTTTGATTCGCGTCTTGCTCTTGATTTGACATCTTGTTTCCTCAATTGCTGTTTTTGCAGATCGACTCCAGATGGGTGAAGTCGTCTCCACCATTCCAAGTAAGTGGTTTCACTTTTTAGCTTTTCAATTTCCTTTCGAATTTTGAATATCTATGTGTGGAGTTTACATGATTTTGGACTCCTGATGGTCTCAATTTTATAATGGATGAGAATGAGGATAATTGATTTGGGATCATATACGATTTGTTTTGTTTTTTTCTTTTTTTAATGTTAGTTGGAGCTGTACTGTGTGACTAAGCTTTTGTTTCATGATTCTCTATAATTTGATTTATCACATTTGAAGTATCTAGATGTATATGAAACAATTCAGCTTGTATTCGTAATGGTTAACGGGTTACATGTTGTTCTTACAGCAATCGGGTTCAATGTTGAAACTGTCCAATACAACAACATAAAGTTTCAAGTTTGGGATCTAGGTATGCTTTCTCACTTTAACTTGTTATTCACCTTAACCTGAATGATATGTCTGAGCTTGTTTGGCACGTAGAACTATGTATTTGGGCTGATATTAGTGTTCCAGAGTATAGCTACCATGAAGTGTCATGTTCTGTATTACCGTGGGAGAACTTATAAGTCTTTTGGCTACCTGATAGCATTTCATACTTGAAACCTGCTGGCATATAAGAGGCTTGAGAGCTATTAACGAATAACAAGTTGTTCTCATTAGAGGTCTCAATGTGATTAAGAAGTTGAGCCTAGGTAAGTTGTTTGTTGGAATGTTGTAATCTAGTAGAAGAAAACAATGAGTATGAGGTAGATATTCAGTGCTTGGTTACTCTTTTCTTGACCTTTTGTCAAAGATCACATCCTTATTGTTCAAACCTGTACTTATCCAGCACGTAAATAGCATGTTTACGTGTTCTTGTTAATGTTTTCTGATTTCATGTATAACATAGATGGCTTTTTGTGCTGATTGCAGGTGGACAAACCAGTATCCGGTAACTCCTTAATTTTCTGATTTCACAAGTTGTAGCTCTAATGTATCTGGTGTAGCAGTATATTATTGCAATGCATACACTAAATATTAGTTTGCACATACTTCTTAATTGATTTTTTGTTTTCTATCATCAATTTAGCTCTTTAATTGGAAGTCCTGCTATTTTGGCCTGTCTTTTTGTTACCTTTCCTTATGTTTGTTTATCATGTTTCTCATTTTAACAATATTTGATGTTAATTTTGCATTTTTAAACAAGGGTTTATTAGGCTTGTTGAAGATTAGCAGTCTATTCTCTCTACAAGACCTATTGGTTCTTGTAAATGATTAGGGTTTTTTTTCATGAAAAATAAGTGTAATTTGCTGGCACGTGTTTTCGAGCTTTCTATCTTACAGTCTTGGGAGATAGATTTTGTTTTACCATAAGTTGAAAAGTTACATTAAGTTGTCAATAGTCAATTCTGGGTTACTGTAAATATCTTGTTGCACCATGGGGCTTTATTTGCTTGCTTAAAAACTAAAAATGCATAAGGGACTTTTCTCGTATGTTTTATATTCCACGCAGAGGTAAAATGCGTTTATTGTGGTATCTTCACATCTTTGCTATAAGCCTCCACTTCTTTTAAATATTATCTGGAATTTGATGTTAAGATCAATTTGATAATTTCATTATATTATTTGATATTGTAAATTTATGTCGGTTGGCCTTAACCAATATGCCCAACATCTAGTTGACACCACCTTTTCTAGCATTGTGCATGCTGTTGCTTATTGTATTTGTTTGTACTTAGGCCATATTGGAGATGCTATTTTCCCAATACCCAGGCCATAATATACGTTGTTGATTCAAGTGATACGGATAGGCTGGTGATTGCTAAAGAAGAGTTTCATGCAATTTTGGAGGTGCTCTTGCTTTTCTTCATCTGTATCTCTCTTTATTCTTTTCTGTCTCTCTCCTCACCCTTTTCTATGTTGTAATAGTTAAGTTTTCTTCGTCATTCGAAAACCTGAGAAGAATTCACCAGAGGAAGTTCCCCTCATAACCCAAGAAGAAAAAACGAAAAGAAAAAAAGTTTCCCCCACATAACAACATGGACAGACCGATATACCCCACAAAAAGTATTAATATATCTTCCTCGACGAATCATAAAAAATTATCATGTATGTGAAGCTTATAAGATGGAAGTCTGTATTTTTCTAGATGAACACTTGAGTAGGTGGCTCGTGTCCCTTACTGTTAATTGTCTGTAACCTTTTTGCTCTGTTAAGCCTTTTCGTGTTGCTGACACAATTCATCCAATTTGTATTTTATCAGCCAACTTTTACCAGTCTGTTTCACGCTGTAGTGTAGATGTACAGGTTTTAAAGGTTATCTATTCCCTGTGTTTTTGTGTGCTTGTTTGCTCTGAAACTAATTTTGCAATATAATTATCTCGTTTCAGGAGGAGGAACTAAAAGGTGCTGTGGTTCTCTTATTTGCTAACAAGCAGGTAATTGAATGCAATATGTTGTTGTTTAAGTGTGAATTGACTTTCTGCTTTTATTTAGTATCTTTAAGATTCTCACTTGATGTTTTAAATCTTGCTTTAACCAAGAACCATTTATATGCATTCATTTATTCAATTGCCTTTTGTTCCGACTGATATACAGGACCTTCCTGGGGCACTTGATGATGCTTCAATAACTGAGGCCTTAGAGTTGCACAAGATTAAGAATCGGCAATGGTCTATTTTTAAAACTTCTGCCATAAAAGGAGAAGGCCTCTTTGAGGGCTTGGACTGGTGAGAACCACTTAGCTATTTCCATTTTTTGCATTGATACTATTTCTCCGTATTTTGCATTAATAATGTGTCATTATTCATTCATTTTCATTCATTCTCTTTGCAATAACTACTGAAACTATACTTGAGGTTCAGTAAGTTACTCAAGAGTTAGTTTTCTTCTTGAGTTGCAAATAGCCAAATACTACCCACGAAGTCCTCGACAAATCCTTGAATGATTAGGCCTGGCTAACTGAATATTTTGTAATTAGGCACTAAACCAAAATTTTAAAATATGATGAAAGCAATTCTTCATGGTAGTACTTACTATTCTTTTGCCTTACTTCCTGTTTACTTTATGAACCGAACAGGTTGAGTAATACGCTTAAATCTGGAGGTGGCTAAATCTTCGTGCATTACTCGAGATGATAATTGTGATTGTGTCAAAACAGATAGTCGCGTCTAAATTGCTGGCGCTGGTTTGTTTTCAGATTTTATAGTAGTTCGTCATGTTATACATTTGTCTTCTAGACAGGTTGTTATGGACACAAATACATATTTTTTGAAACGCTTATGAGCATATTTAGATCAAATTCTTTTTGGGTCCATTCTAAATTCCACGCTTTTTTTTTTTTCTTCTTTTCATTTTCATGAGTGTTCAGGGCTCTTAAATTATGATGTCCCCCCATCTTCCTTTTCAATTTTATTAGCGTGATGGGTTCAAACTATTGCACAATTGCAAACTATTATAATACGTAAATCATATTTTTTTAGCGTGATAGGTTCAAATTCAAAACTATTGCACAATCAGTCTTGCACAATTGCAAAACTATTATAATACATAAATATTCTTGCAGTTGCAGACCAGGAATGCCAGAAAATTGGGGGCCAATTGGATATAAAAAGGAAAAAAATATATTATTGTTCAGTTAAGATTTATCTTAAAAATATATTATTGTTCAGTTAAGATATATTATCCAAGGACGTTCAAATGGAGAAAAAGTCTAAGAAGAAGAAAAAGAAGGTGGTGGTTTCTTAAATAAATAAAACGCAACAGCTCCTCACAAATCAATCTAAGAACATTAACAACGTCCAAACAACATTCAAGTTGCGTTAGTTGAAAAGTTCAATAAATATTGCGCACTAGCGTTTGGTCCGAGAAAAAACTTTCAATCCCTTGAGTCAATGTTATTCAAATCCAAATTCATTTTCGAAGATCCAATTCTAAATTCAAGAATAGAAGAATTAGAGGGTTACATATATAGAGATTGTACACGCAAAATCGTTTGATCGTAATAAAATCAAGTTGTACAAAAATTTTATGTTCTTCACCAGCTAGACGAAACAGAGTCATTGCCAACTCTAGGACGATGCATCATAAAAGGTCAAGCTGCATGGAGAGAAGCCATCAACTTTAACGGTGAATTCCACTACATACGAGGATATTGGGAGTGGACTGAACAGCCGGTGCAGAAGCAATTTGATCAAGGCAGAGATTTACAACCCTATGTACGCCACGCTCTTCACATACGGCTGCAATCCCGAGATCATCAACGAATCCTACGAGGCGTGGTGCCCAGTTACCATCACACTGCTGACATCTTTTAAGGAACTATCCATGTCGCTATGGGATTGACATACCTTGGCAGGACTTACATCGAGTGGATTCATCTTCAACAAGATGGTGTCGGATGCAAACGAGCTAGTCGAGATTAACAAAGTATGAATATATGTCTCGCTCGCTGCTTCAAGCATCTCATCCACATCTATCATCTACTCTGCAAAGAAGACAGTGATGGGCAGGTGTCAATCGATCGATGGGTATAATTTTGGTCAAAAACCATGAAGTACAAATAACCTCCAAATCGTGCCGACAAGAAGAATGAAGAGAAGAAAAGGATCATTAGCCTCAAGTCAACTCATAATCTGCCCGGCACCTTCGATGAACATCGACACTAGGCCTCTGCCGAAGATCTCTTGGTCAAGATCGACGTAATCGAGCCAAAGTTGCAAGAAGAAATTCACTTGGCGATCTACTTCTCGTGTTAGATCTTCACATTCGTCCTTCCCAACGTTGGCGTCGACATGATTCGTTCGAGCACCTTCAAGATGGCAACCATGATGGCCAAGGGTCAGACGGGTTGGTCTCGCAATTTCGGTGTTGACAAGCATCTACAAGGGGTGAACGAGCTTGCAAGCTACACAAGTCTATCTCGATCGACATTTCCCATCCACTTCACTTACAGCTGGCTGACACTTTACTTCAAAACTCATTTCATAATCGGTCAAACTTGCAAGCCTATGATGGTAACATATTCCAACAAGAATGGCGCAAGCCACTTTGACATCGAGGAGGCCCGCAGACGTATCCACAAGGGAGACTCCGCTTTATGGACTTGCAATGTCCTCATAAAAAACCAGACATCTTGATATATCAATGATCAATGAAAACTTGAATATGAATAGAGATACTTCATGGCGATCTTCTCTAACTACCTTACGTGGCGCCAATGCAACCAGTTTTTTATTGAGCCGAACAGTCCTCATCGATTTCCTCGTCAAGGGAGCCCTAACAGGAGTCTTACTTCAAAATGTCGGGAACATCTTGATAGTAACCAAATTGACGACTGAACCGATGAGGACTGTACGACCCAATAAAGAAACGGTTGCCTTGATGCTCCATGAGGTAGTTAGAGTGGATCGCCATGAAGTAGCACTATTTGTATCTAAGTCTTTGTTGCTCATCAATATATCGAAGTCTGGTCTTTGATGATAATATTGCAAGTCTATAAAGCGAAATCTCCCTTGTGGATATGTTTGTGGGCCTCCTCGGGGTCGAAGTGTCTTGCGCCATTCTCGCGAGAATATGTCACCATCATAGGCTTGCGCATTTGACTGTCTATTAAGTGAGTTTTGAAGTAAAGTGTCTAAATGAAGTGGATGGGAAAATTCGATCCAGATGGACTTGTGCATCTTGCAAGCTCGTTCAACCCTTTGTAGATTCTTGTCAACACTAGAATTGCGAGACCGACCGTCTAACCCTTAGCCATCATGCTTGTCATCTTGAAGGTGCTCGGAAGAATCAAGTTGATGTCACCGTTGGGAAGGACAAATGTGCAGATCCAACACGAGAGGTAGACCGCCAAATGAATTTCTTCTTGCAACTTTGGTTCGATCACGTCCATCTTCTTGAACAAGAGATCTTCGGCAGAGGCCTAGTGTCGATGTTCTTCGAAGGTGCCAGGCGGATAATGAGTTGACTTGAGGGGAATGATCATCTTTTTCTCTCCATTCTTCTTGTTGAAATGATTTGTTGGTTGTTTGTACTTGATGATTTTCTTCGACTAAACCTGCACCCATCGATCGATTGACACATGTTTGTCATTGGCTTCTTTTCAGAGTAGATGACAGGCATGGAAGAGATGCTTGCAGCAGCAAGGGTGGCATAGATTCTTAGCTTCGTTAATCCCGACTAGCTCATTTTCATACGGTACCGCCTCGTCGAAGATGAATCCGTTCGATGGAAGTTCTGCCAAGGAATGTAGATCCCATAGCGACATGGATAGTTCCCCCGAAATATGTCAGCGAGTATGGGGCTTTGGTTCGTAAAGCATTATCTCTTCTCTTGGTGGTTGTTGATATCCGTGCTCGGTTTCACAAGAATGAGGGCACGAGATTTCATTGGGCCCGCCTTTGTTCTATTCTCCCAGCTCGTCTACTTTTGGAGAATACAAAAGCGTGGCATGATCGTTATTTTTTCTTGGATCCCGGTTGATTTTCGTTGGAGACGTCGAGCTCAAGACGTTAAAATGAGCGCTTCGTGGGAGACAACCCACGGTTATTGCTTTTTTTCTAGTATTTTCCTTTATATCGTCAATAAATAGCCCCGCAAGCCACACAACACACGGTACTTTTAGAGATTGAAAGTCCTGGAATTCGCGGGCTCGAAAATAGATTCGCGAGCAAGTCCATTTTTGCTACAAGTCTTGGGCTGAAGCTAAAATTCGCGGGCTCGAACTTATTTTCGCGAATCACGCACAAACGCACTCATTTCTCTTATCCCTCACCCCCACCGCTACCTCCATCCACCGTCGACGGGCGACTGTTCTCCGACCAGCTCCACAACCGGAGACGCGAGCTTCTTCTCCCTCTGACGACGCGCCGTTCGAGCGTCTTCACGGCGATTCGAGCTCTGCTCCACTCCACCTCCGCCGGCGATTCGAGCTTTTCACCCGCAACCGACCTTCGACCACAGAAATTGAGCCCCGGCAAGTTTCCCTCGCGCACCCCCGTTTCGACCGCTGATTCACAACCTGTTCCGCGAGCTTGACCGCCCTCAAACCGCGACCGGCGACGAATTGCCACCTCCGGCGACCGTCGTTTGACCACGACGACTAAGAGCTCCGACCAACATCCGGCGACCACGAGTTTCGACCTCCGAGCTCCCAACTTCAAATCCCGTCCCCGCGAACAGAGGTTGCTCATCTCCGGCGAGCTCGCGACCGACCTCCGTCCACCTCCCATTTCCGGTGACCTCAGCCGATTTCAGCAACAGTAAACTTCCGGCGGCTTTGGTGCTCCAATTCTCCGAAAAGAGACAGCTCCACTACTATTCCGGCCATCAGGCCACCGTCTAACTCCGATAAGCAGCCGCAAACCCTCGGCCGGACACGGCGAAATTGGTGTCGCGAAAAAATCTCCAAAGAGCAAGTTCCTACTTCTTAATCTCCCGTACCCAATTTTTTCAAATGGTTATGTACGAAATTATTTGGGAATATTTTAGTTTGTTAAAGTGGTGAAAACTTCGATTTGAGAGGCTAAAGGATTCGAGAGGCTCTTTTTAGTTGTTATTCATAAGAAAATTTGATCCAAGGTGGCTCGGCTTTGTCCTCTTTATTGTTCCTTGTATGCCTAATTACAGAAAAATTCGAGAAGTGAACTGTGTCGTTTTTTTGCCATGGAGAACAAGAGAGCTACCAAGTCACAGGAAGAGCAGTGGATGGTTCAAAATCAAGTCTTTCGGATTTATGATATTGTCTACCAGCTTCCTCCTCATGCTCAAGCCGTTAAGTGAGCTCCGTACTGTTTACTACAGTTAGTGCTTTTTGTCTGGCACAATCAGTTTGCTAGTTGATTTTATACTCCCATAACTTAAATTTGGATTCTAATATTTTTGTTCGGTATGTTTTGGCATGTGGAATTTGTAGCTTTGAGCTTCGACGAGACAACCACATTGAATACCTCACCAAAAGTCTCAAACAACTTGGCCCAAATTTTGCTGTTCTGGATGCTAAGTATAGCTTTTCTTCTAAGAATATACTTTTTACATATTCTGCGTGCTTACACGTACACAGTCACACACGTATTATATCAGCTGTAGATTCATTTCATTTGATGTGTGTGTCATAATGTTCTGATTTTTATTTCGAGGTAATACTTTCGGTGTTCGTTGAAATCAGTCTATAGTTTCACATAGCCATGGAGAGTGTGCTCATAGTAGGTAGTTGAATGCACTTGCAGCAACAAAATCGTGAGAGTTGAGAATTTTTTATTCATGTTTTTTGATCCACAATCTGAAGCAGAAAACAGATAATGACAGCCTATATGAGTTGCATGTTGATGTTGTAACTAGTCTTTTCTGAGATTTGAGGAATTTTGGACCACATTTTGAAATTTAGTTTATCGAACTTCTGGTTTGGTGATTGATTCACAGTCGACCTTGGCTCTGCTATTGGATCATGCACTCTATTGCTTTATTGGGGGACTGTGTTGATGACAAACTAGAAAATGACATAATTGAGTTTCTTCAACGGTGCCAGGTTTTTGATTTTGGACCACATTTTGAAGTTTAGTTTACCAAACTTGTTGTTGTTAATGCATATGCTATATTTGTCCGTGGTCTCATTTAATAATGTTACTACAGGATCAAAATGGTGGTTATGGCGGAGGACCAGGCCAGGTGGGACGTTTTGTAAAGTTTTGGGTTGTTTTGGCGCATCTTATTATAATGGACTATTTAATCGCATTCTATATACACTATACTTTCTTTTTGCATTTTTAAATGTGAGTGTGACTAGTTGATTGGGTTCCTCAATTGGGTCAGATGCCTCATTTGGCAACAACTTATGCTGCGATCAATACACTGCTAACTGTAGGTGGTCATAAATCACTGTCATCGATAAATAGGTAACTATGGTTTTCCATTTTATAACCTTTTTCCATTTGAAAATTTACCTTTCCAATTTCATCCTTTTGTTTTATTCACATTGAATTTTGGCTTGCAGAGGGAAGCTTTATGAATTTTTGTTCCGAATGAAGGACTCCAGCGGTGGCTTCAGGTGACACAGAGTAATATTGCGTGTTTTTCATGTTACTGGTGTTGGAATGTGCAAAATTTCAAGTTTTTTCATACTAAAAGTTCTTGGTGATTGTTGACTAATTAAAAGTGCATGGGGATATATTCATCTTTCAATTCACTGAGTCATGTGCATGTTTTATGTATTTAAACCAATTCCTCTTATAATTTTTTCAGGATGCATGATGGTGGAGAAATAGATGTCCGTGCTTGCTACACTGCTATATCTGTAAGTTGAAGCGCTTTCTTTAAACATGGTTGACTTACATGTCCACTCGAACATCTTGAACTTTTTAAATAAGATATAACTGGTATGAGACATCTCATCTAAGAAATATTGCGCAAGAACATCTTTCTCCAAATAGATAATTAATATCTTGTTTCTGCTTTGCAAGCAGAAAATCCAATTGTTTACGTGCAAAACTGTATGTTCTCTGATTCCAATAATGAAGGTTTAACGTGATACATATTTGGTTCCAATTTCTAAATATCCTTGTGTGGAAAGAACCAGGATCCTTAGGCTATGTTTGGTAAAACTAGTTGATAATCTAGATGGTAGCATATAAGTGATTTTCGAGTTTATTGCTTATGACTTATAGCTGAAAAACTAGCTTATATGATAAAAGTGTTTGGTAAAATTAGCTGAAATAAAAATTTCAACGAGCTTATTTGAAAAGCTACCCAAAGAAGCTTATGAGATAAGCTCGAGCTTTATAAAAAAGCTCGTCCTACCAAACGAAGTTATTTAAATTCAGGAAACTCTTAAGCTAACCAAATAAGTTATAAGCTAGCTTATTTGGTTACCAAACATAGCCTTAGAATTAACTCATGATGCTGAATTAGAATTAACTCATGATGCTGAATTACAGGAAGCAACTGGACTGGTTCTTTCTTGTAAATGGTTTTCTTTATTACTGTATTATTCTTTAAGCCTTCTAAGTTGTCTAAACCTATGTCACGTTGGGTTCCATGCTGCAACAAAGTTCGGCTGAATGCATTCTATTTTATCTAGGAAATAATCTTACTTCAATTATTATCTTGCTTCTTTAGGTGGCTAGTGTTCTTAGCATTTTGGATGATAAGCTGATTCAGGGTGTTGGGGATTACATCGTAAGGTTTGCCTGATTGTTCTACTATTCCCCTGTTTTTCTTTACCTTGTTCTTTTGCAATTTAATTCTAATTATAATTCTAATTTGTCTTCTTGTTATTCTATTTGTGTACTTGCAAAACTTTTTTTCTGTGATTTCACTCATTTGATGCATGTCACTCTGTCTAACAGTTGCCAGACTTATGAAGGTGGAATTTCTGGTGAGCCGGGTTCAGAAGCTCATGGTGGGTAAGTAAAAATCTGAAAAATGACTTGGATTCATCCTGTAGCTTTCAATTTTAGTTGCATTTTTGTTGTATGAGATCCTATCTGCATTTTGTTAGGTATACATTTTGTGGTTTGGCTGCTATGGTTCTAATCAATGAGGCGAACCGTTTGGACTTGCCTGGACTAATTGTNACAAGTTTCCATATGTCTCTTTATTTTCATTCATTTTATCAGTAGTGTGTTTTTGGCTTAATATTCACCTTCGATCTCCACTGCTTGATGATATTATTTGTTATTTTACATAATATGGTTTAATTTTCCTTTCTATGTTGCTTTGGTTATCTCAAAAATAATATTTAATAAAATTTGTCCACCTTTATCTTCTTTGATATGCTTGTATTGGTGCTTTCCTCTATCATATACCTAAAATTTATGATCTGAAGGGCAAAAGTAAATATATGATTGCTCAGCTGCAAATTCGAATTTTCTTATCTGCTACTGCAATTGTAAGTGCTCTTTGAATCACTTAATATTTCAGAATTGGGTGGTATTCAAACAAGGCATTGAGTGTGGATTCCAAGGAAGATCAAATAAGTTGGTTGATGGCTGCTACTCCTTTTGGCAGGTGAATGCATGGAAATTCTCAGTATTTTCAGTTCAATTAAAAGCTCATTTAATAATATAAATATAGGTAACGATACCTAATCTTCAATCAGGGAGGGGTGGCTGCAATAATCCAGCGACTTCATTTGATTGTCAGTCAACAACTCGGTCTACCGAATACCTTTAAATTTGACCACACAACAGAAAGTGATGACGATTCTTCAAATTCTGATGGAGAACAAACTTTTGAGGGCACCTCTTCTCCATTAGAAGAGGTCTCTCAACCCACACCAGAAGGTAAGCAAAAGTTCGTCTGCTGACTATTCCCCTTTTTATGTTCATTTTACTAAGTATGCGTCTATTTGCTCACTCTAGGCCATGTTTGGTAAAACTAGCTGATAAGCTAGCTATACGTTGATAGTTGATAAGATAGCTTATAAGTCAAATTCGAGCTTATAGTAGATAGTTTATGACTGAAAAACTAGCTGATATGATAAAAGTGTTTTGTAAAATTAGCTGATAAGTCAACCACTTGAAATAAAAATTTCAACAGACTTATTTGAAAAGTTAACCAAAGAAACTTATAAGATAAGCTTGAGCATTTTCCTACCAAACCAAATAAAAGATTTATATACAGAAAGCTTATGCTTGTCAAGCTAACCAGATAAGCTATGAACTAGCTTATGATGCTTACCAAATATACTCTTAATATACTTCACACGAGTTATTGTTGCTTCTTTTTGAACTCGCGTAATTTAATCCGCACGTCTAATTTATTTTGGCCCTTCACTCCACAAAATGCAGGGAAACCTAGTTCTTCATGCTCAAGGATGAAAAGTACCGGCTACAAATTTATCAAAGGACCAACAGGAATGAAACCTGTTTTCAACAGCATGGCCTTGCAACAATACATCCTTCTTTGCACACAGGTATATGAGACTCACTTCATTCTGTATCTTCCTTCGCATGTGCCTGCCTGAATGTTGTGTGAAATGGTTAGAGTGTTACAAAAATAAAAGACTAATTAGAAGTAATTTGTTAACTTAATAAAATAGAACAAAATTAGAAGATGATACGAGTGTGTGTGCAGTTGGACTTTAGTGTATCTCTAGTTTTCGATTTTTCCCTAGTTACCGCATCTCCTAATGGCCCATAAAACAATGAATGCTAGGATGATCTATATATAGATCTTAGTTACCCAAGTGCCTTTGGAATGCAAATACACACAATTCACACTATCTGTATCTGCATAACTCTAGGAATTTGTTTGTTTTTACATTTGTTTTTCCTTTTTTTTTCATAACTAGTATGAGTTCCGTGCAATGCACGGATAAGAGATATTCATTAATATTTATAAATTAAAAATTCTTATTAATATTATAAATTGAAAATATGCAATATGTAATACAATTTACCTCTATTAATTTATTGAAAATGTTATATTAAATTGTGCAAAATTATATAAAAATGTCAATTTAGAATTAGTATACAACCTGTGCGCTGTACATAATTGATAATAAATTACATTATATTTGTTTCAAAATAAGTATCATTTCAAAAATTTTATTCAAAAAATCGATTTGTCTATATGTGATTCCATAAAATAGTTATTTTGGTAAAATTTTATCATATATTTAACAACCTATGTGAATAATAAGTATAAATATAAAATTTATATTGTTTCATTACTTAAAAAACAATTTATTATTGTATAAGCTATTCAAATAAAAAAATTAAGTAGTTGAGTAATTTATTAAACTATAAATAATTGACTATTCGTTTACGTCCAAGTTAATATTGACTCGTAAGTTATTGAGTAATTTATTAAATTATAAATAATTGATTATTTTGTTTATATCCAAGTTAATATTGACCTGTAAGTTATGAATAATTATTTTTTATTTTTAAATTTAAGTAAAAAACTTTTTATTATTTTCAATATATTATATATCAAATTTAAACAACGCAACTAATAAAGATAATAGCTGCAAGTTTTGTCAACATATTATATTTCAAATTTAAATCATGCAACAGATAAAGGTAATAGTCGTAATATTTGACCAAAATGATTCTGTACATTAATTTAGACGGGATTTTTTAAATTTTGGCAAAAAATATTACTCAATATAGTAAATACATTAGACGGGAAACCAAATATATTTTTGTTGATTTTTAGTTGTTATTTCAAATAAATACCATTGTCTCTTTATATATTAATAGATTTGATGTGATTTTGGGAAATTGAACTTTCAAAAGTTGGATAAATATGTTGGATTTTTTTAATCGACGATAATATACGTGCTATAATTATTGACGGAAAGAATCTACATATTTGGTATCATTAGACCATAATGTAGACATCAAATCGAGTTGATGAGTACAGATGATTTTTTTTGTGTTTTCTTTTCTACATTTAAGATTTTAATTAATTTATGTTGCATTTTAAGACTTTTCAAAAGTTTTAGGTCGGGATTCCTTTTCTATTTTTAGCTTCTTTTTTTTTTTCAAATAATGATGTGGGACTCTATGCTCTAAAAACCTATCAAATGTGTTGGGNCAATTGACAGTTGCCGAGAATCAATATTAATATTAATAATTCTTGACTCCGCAATCAATGGTTTAATCCGATAGTGAAAAAATATTTGATCTGATTTGGTTATATCAACTTATGAAATTTGACTTCAAAAAATCAAGTAAATATATGGGATTTTTTTCAATTTACGATATACATGGTTGGACACTAACAAAATTAATATACGTGTCGATTTATTAAAATAATTTTTCGTCTTACTCAAACTAAATGAATCATGATTTTAATTAAATTGAAATGTTGATATTTAATGGTCTGAAATGCAATATTGTATGTTAATTTATTTATTCAACATATAATATTTGGGAGTGTCCAAAAAAAAAAATGTCATACTTTCCAAATGTTAAAAATGGATTTATTTTAATATTAAATGTTAATTTATTATTCACCAAAAATATTTAGGAGTGCCCAAAAAAAAACTGATATGCGTTTCAAATGTTAAAGTAGATTTGTTTGATCAATATTAACAAACCTAATCTGAAATGTTTTAAAGTCGATTTGTTCATCAAGTTTCCAAAAATTTTGAACGGCAACTGAAAATTTGGGATGTTGACAAAACTTTTCAAATTTGCCAAAAAAATCAAGCTATCCAATTAGGCGGCATTTGTGAAAAATTCAAAAAAAAGTTACATTTTTTAGGTATATTTTTAGGTGGGATTTAAACTTATTCTTTAGTTATTATTTTAAGATTATTTAGGTTGCCTCTTTATATATTAATAGATATAATTTGCTGTAGGAGGAGGCAGGTTTTAGAGATAAGCCGGGAAAGCGCCGAGACCACTACCATACATGTTATGTTTTAAGCGGGTTGTCTATCTGCCAGTATAGCAACGTAAGAGACATAGAATCTCCCCCTTTGCCTAAGGATATAGTGGGCCCTTACTCAAATTTGCTCGAGCCTGTCCATCCTTTGTATAACATAGTTTTAGATAAATATTTCCAAGCGTACGAGTTTTTCACAAGGTAGTAGACAGTAGTAACATGTGATTTTCTATGTGAACTAATAAGGTGCAGTGTAGTGAGAGGTGCATGTGCGCTGCACCTGAAATGCATTGTTTTTTTTAACTAAATCTATATAAAATGATTATTCCCTATTCACCGTTATGTTATTGTATTTTCCAAGTCTGTACCGTAGAATGCGTTTCTTGGTATTTTGTGCGTTTGAGATTTTCTTACCACTGAAATGTGAAGGTGAGAGTATTATAGAGTGTGTTTGATAAGTACCCTAAGTTAGCTTATAACATAATTGATTAGTTTTTAAATTTGAGAACGAGCTTTTGTTTTTTAAAAAAGTCAAGTTTATCTCGTAAGCGTTTTTAGGTGACTTTACAAATAAATTCGTTGGTCATTTTATTTCAGCTTATCAATGAATTACTAAACCCTCTTATTATATCAGCTAGTTCATAAGTCATAAATTGTCAATTATAATTTTGAAATTCACTTATAAGTTGTCAATTATAGTTTCGAAATTCACTTATAAGTTATCAGTTAGGCTTATGAATCTAGTCGATTATAATTCAATTTGATTGGTTAAAGTGAATTATTGAATCTAGTCGATTATAATTCAATTTGATTGGTTAAAGTGAATTATTTTGAGTAAAGTTGATTGAGTGAATAATTTTGAGGTTTTAATTAAATAATATTTAAATTGTGTATGCCTCAGCTCAAATCTTTATCCCATCAGTCGATTGCGTATGTGGGTCCAGTGATTACGGGACCCAGGGCAGTAGAAAACCAACCCACGTACTTCGTTGTAGATCATGAAGGCCCAAAATGTAATCCCATATGAAAGTGTAGTAGCCTAGTCTATTATCCAAGCCTATCGAATTTTGGGCTCACCATGGAAACTGAGATATATACCGCGAGCGACTGGGTCAGCTCAAAAGCTCTTTCACTTTTCAAGTTTTCATCAAACGCGCCACTAACCTTCTCTTTTCCCGCCTTTCTGTTATTTTCTTACCCACTCCTCACTTTTAAAATATAAGGCGTATAAAGATTTCTCAATTTTTTTGAAATATAAGGCGCGCTAAAAAATCAAGACAAATTTTTGCATTTTTTTTTAAATATACCCTCATTGTGTTGAAATTAAGGAAGTGTGGAGTGGTTGTGATTAGAGTAAATAAGGTTAATTTAGTCAATTTATTCATTAATTAATGTCTTTTTAATATTTGTGCAATAACCTTAAATGCCTTATATTTCAAAATGGAGGGAATATTATCGAAATTGAGTGGGGTTTGGACTAAAGTTTTAGTTAGTAATGAGCCCTATATTATTTTCTTATCCTAATTGAATTTGGGTCAAAAGTTTGTTGTTCTTGGACTTTAAGTTCAAAATTCTCACACTTAAATTTGTACATCATTATTGGTTAATTGGCCAAAATCGTAAAATCAAATAATCGAAATAAAATTAAATTATAAAACAGTTTTATATTTTCATAAAATTTGTTGTTACAATAAGAATTTTTTTAAAAATATTTTTTCTTGTGTCATTCCTAATTTCATTTTGATTCAAAAAAATAAAATAAAAATAAAAAATAAATAATAATAATAATAATAATAATAATAATAATAATAATAATAATAATAATAAATTGTTTCATATCTAAGAAACATTACGTACATTCCGTCTCGTTCAATTGTTTTCGCGGAGACCAAACTGTTTTAAGCACATGATACTGATGGAGATATGTTTCATGCATATTTTTGTTTTACTTCATATTCTATAATAATGTGTCGGTAACTCGATATTATGTGGTAAAACTGATGGCAGAATTATATGTATTTCAATGATTTAGTTGAAGCGTTGCAATAATTCTACACATATTTCATCCAAACATTTAAATAAATACCCACAATAACTCTATTGTAAGGAAATTGATGGCATACATGCATACATAAAATCCCATTATTTGTAATAAATTTTATTTTCAACTCATACTCCACTTTTAATAACTCATTGATAGTGTGTGCATCTGCCCATGGGATCCCTTATATTACATCACTTTCCACTCATGTTAAACACGTTTTTCCTACGCAGCACGTGAGAATTTGTGATATTAATTAATTATCAATTTAATTACATCATGTAAGTCGGTACCTAAATCCACCATAAATCTTTTTACAATGAACAGAGATAAATGCTTTTGTTGGGATAAACAGGAGTTACAAAAAAAAAACATTGATTTTATTTTTCTTAATTTTCAATCATTTTAATTTAATTAGTCCAATTGTTTATACTCCTAACTAATTTTATATTTTTCGTAGTTTATAGTTTGTAGGATAACACGATGCGATAAAATGTAGAAAACAAATAAACTTCCAAAAAAGGAAATTATGTATTATAAAACAAAGTTTTAGATGCCAATATGAAGGCCAAAAGCTCTAAACGAATTAGAACACCAATAATGAAACGGAATATGAAACNATTCATACATGAAAGAATATAATATTCAATGATCAAATTAGATGTATGTAATTGGT